TTAAACATGTCCTAATGGGAATCCAACAATAAACACTGTGAATAAACCAAACCTCCCTTCTGCATGACGTTCTGTCACCGTTCCACAACGAGAACATAAAAAGACAGTACCTATCTTTCATCTTCTATCGTGTGAAGGAAGTACTTGCGTTACTTTACGTTATTGAATCTATAAATCAGGGGATACACTTCTTTTGGAATTATGTAATACCTATGAAGGTTAGTATACCTACCTACCCAGTATTTGATGATTATTTTTTTGTACTCCACAGACAATTTTTCATATAAAGGTAATGGAATTAGATGTTTTTGTTCAACCGAATTACCCTCTGATCAGTTTGAGAACCGCACTGTCCTATAGATATCGATTAGATTATAATATAATGCCATTTATACAATTGTATTTTCTCTAAAGATACCTAAACTTGTGGATGAATGGGTTACTGTTTGTGACAGTCTGAAGCGTCACATTGGATGCTCATTTACCAATTAATTTGCCTATGGCAGATTTCCAGATGGAATTTTCGTCACGTTGCGCTTGTGTCTACACCCTCCATCAAGCTGTTGTGGAAAACGTTTTCTAATTCATTTGATATTTTCTCTCTACTCTAAACTGCGAGTGGTCGATTGTACAACTACCCTAACAATTCAAAATTATTGATGTGTGAGTTATGAAGGTAAACATAATGTTCAGCTACACTCGATTCGTCTAATCTATCACACAATCTAATCTTATTTTGAAATGCGCAAGGTATTCTGTGAACCGTGTTTCTATAGGTCACCTAGTTGGCCTATATATATTTTTCCACATTCATTAGGCAACCAATTTCAGAAAATTCTCAACTTACGTGTGTCCATTTCATCTTTTGGATTGCCAAATCAACTTCTTACTTTTGACCCAGACTTATATACGCTTTAAAAACATGATAAGTATCTGAAAATCTTATCAAGGCGTTTTGTATAGGTACTCATGATTGAACGAAATAGTGATTCTTCTCGAATTGTTATGATCTCGGTTATGATCCTCTAAAAAAGTCGTGAAATTTTGAAGAGTTAACAATTTATGTCTTCGAATCAGTTAATCTACTAATTTATCTCGATATCATAACCATTTATACTAGCATAACTAAAACTAAAACACTAAAATTTAAATTTTATCTCACATAGATTAGTGTCATTTTCTTTGAACTAAGACATTTAAGATACTAAGATAGAGATATCACTCTGAGGACCCGTCTAGACTTGCGTCGTAAGTGTTCATGTATATTAGTCATGAAAACCATTCATTCTCAAAGTGGTCCAGTATATTTCACAAGGAGAAAGAGAAAAAAATTGATATGTTCTTTTGCATTGTTTACTTCAATACTGTTTGCTTTGATTCTTTTCGTTTCTCTTATTTGGTTTCCATTCTGACTTCAAAATTGTCAACACTGTCATGTCAAATATGTTGAAGTGAAATCAACATTTATAATTATATGCTCCTCTATGTCTTCCTTTTGATGGCTTGCCTCGAATGGAAATGAAGCTCTTTGAGTAGATTTTTATTAAATCTCGTTTAATTCACTTACCGATGTTGAACTTACTCCTAGTTAGGTTCTTTTGTCTCTTCAGTCGTTTCAAAATCATTTACTGTCAAACCGGGCTGATTTTTCAATACACGACCTGTTTGAAAAATTTCGAGTTATTAAGTTAGGTATAACTTCAAAAAAAAAAAAAAAAAAAAGGTATGTACTTCCTCAGCTGATATATTGTCTCAGATTAGAGATCCTTGTAATTTCCAGGTACTTCCTTCTTACTATTGTGTCTGAAGATGGCCGAAACTAGTCACACACATGAGTGTTTCATGTAAAATTTTGTTGTGGTACCAAGTAAGTCGATAGCAGGTACAGTATTTTCTCAATAAGAATATAATATGAACAACGCTAAAATATTACAGTATTCGACTGTACCCAACTACAGAAAAGAGGAGGAGACAAACAAAAGCGGAAGGAGAGAAAGACTGAAAAAGAAGAATGGCATGATGAAAGAATTGAGAAAGTCTCAAATAATAATGAAATTAACTTAGTTACAGATGGGACTGAAGAAGAAAATTATAACATCGAGAATATTTTGACAAGTGAAGAAATAGAAGAGCATCAGAATATGAAGGGATGACATTCTTTTGATATAATGTAGGCGAGATTATAGAAAAAATTACGGAACCAATAAAAATAATTAACGCGGACTTTATAGTCTGTTATTCCTATATTTGACTGTTTTCTAAAAAATGTGTTGTAGCTACGCCACAGAAATTATTACTTTGTGTCATTAGTTTATTATTTTATGTATAATGCATGTTACTCACTCGAGTAAGTAGGTACTCACTTCTAAACAATTTTATCAAGTTTCAGTTTTACGTACTCACATGTGTCGATATTAGGTACGATACAATGAAAATACAATGTTTGCCCCTCAGCAACCTGTCAAATGACGTGATTCTGGAATGATTGATAATTATATCCTTCGAAAATCTATAATCGCGACGATAGTGATTTTTCTAATATGCATCTGCGTTGAACCAATTCAGAGCAGACTCGCGAATCTGTCGAGTAAACTCATTAAACGGGAACTTCGACATTCTCAGACCTTATTGTAAAAAATCTGTAGAAAGACGCCAGGCATTATCCAATTATACCATGAAGAGCCAGTTTGAAAGCAATCACAAACCTACGAGCTCAACATTGAAGACAAAACATAGAAACATTTTTTTTTTATTAACTTATACCTTAGTTCTGGAGTTGAAAAAAATAAAAATTCCAATGGCTGAAGGACTTCAGTCGATGGACAATTGGTTGAACCGATGAAGAACTTTTGACACAACTTGTACCAAAGTTAGAGCTGAATGTGTACTGTAGAACATTTATTTGAGTGACTGCATGTGTGGTTGTGAATTATTCTACTGATTGAAATCGACATTTAGTGAATCCTCGAATGAAACTGGATGTTTCATCATATTTGCCCAATAATAAAAATGTTCATAACAAATTTGATTGATTCGGCTTACACAGTCAAGTAGTGTGTATTATTAACGCCATCGGAGTAGGCCGCTGATTTTAGACACCCTTGTTCGCATTAATTTGGACATTCCATTTTTCATGCATGTTGTTATGCTATGTCTCAATAGTACGAAACCAACTTTGCAGCTTCGAAAGACCCATGCTGAGAATGTGGTGTTCGAAAATCGACTAATTTCGGTATTTCGTGAAAACGTCCAAAAAGGCAAGTTCCTGAAGAACAAGTCAATCAGAACTTCTTTGAGCAGGATACATTCTCGAAAATTCGAGTTCTATTTCATTTTTGTGGGTCTGAAACATCCCAAGCAGCACTTTTAAAAATATGCTGTATAGCATTAAATGAGGTTTCCCGCTTTCTTCTTTCTTTCAAGGTTGGCAAATTCGGTGTAGTGAGTCTATCATGGTATTCCAGTTGGTAGAGTTGAGGTAGCCATTTTGTAAGTTTCCGTTGAACATTATCAAGTAATGTGATATTCGAATAAAGGGCGTATTGAACTTTTATAAAGTTGTTCATATAGTCCGGTGTCCGGGGATTGGAGAACTTTCTCACAATGTAGGTAGTTTTGTTGGCTCTCCTCACAATATTGGCCATATGTTCCGACCAAGTCCACGAATTGGGTATCATCTCACCAAGGTCTCCGAGGTCTGTTCGTGATCCCACAGATGAGGTTTGTACGTTGCCAATGTGAAATCGGGTGTTTGGGTTGTTTGGACCAATATGCAGAACATGTACATTTGGCAGGGTGAAGTTATATTAACTAGTCGTTACACCAATCTTCCAAAAGTACTGAGTCGGATTGTGAGCAGTTCAGATCATCAAGAGGGTTGCAAAATAGTTTCTTATTATCGGTATAGAAGGAGTGGGTGCAGTGCCAATTTGATGGTACGTCTGATGTTTATAAAAGAAGAAGTTTCCTGGGGAACGCCAGAAAGAACATCGTGCAGGCTAGAATGAGAGTCGAACTCTCGAACCTTGAAGTTTCTGTTACTGAGAAACAAAGTGTTCCAGCTTCCGAAGTAGTCGTCTTTGTGGTACTCGATCGAACGCCCTCGAGAAGTCCAAGTATATAATATCTATTGGCTGCTCTTGATCAATGAGACTTGTCCCATGATAAAGGCATTCAAGTAGATTGGTTTCAGTGGAATGATCAGGTAGACATCTATGTTCATTGTCAGGTATCAGTACGTTCAAGAGGAGGAGACTCAGTAGGACATTATTTGCTTATATTGTTTCCATCAGTTGAGCACATATCGGGATGAGACTTATTGGCCGATAGTTTATGGGGTCAAGTTTATCACCCTTCTTGTATATCGGGGATACTGAAGTGATTAACTAGGATGCTGGGGAAGTTTCTGTGTCGAAAGAAGTTTGCATCATGTGTGCAAAAGGTCCATAGTATTGAGGCAGTAATTAGTCAGGACTAATCCAGATATGTTACAAGTCTCGGGGACTTCCTACGTGGTAATTTTTTCAAATGCTCCAAGACGGTATTGGAACCTAAGGATGATGTATGAAATCAAATGTTCAGAGAAATGTATCTGTATATATAACTCGACTAGCCGAAGAAGTCCTGGAACGAAAAAGAAAGAGAGCCAAAACTGCAATTTTTAGGAAGACTACTAATTTTCTGAATCCTGTATCTTGAGATGTTTTGTATACAAAAAAAATTAGATTTGAATTTTTGGGAATTTATCCAGTTTCCAGACTCATAAGACTTTTGGGCTGAAAACCAAAATTATTCAAGAAATTTCGAGGTTTCTCGAGCACCACACTTCTAGCGTAATAGGTCTTTCGAAGCTGCTAACTTGATTTTATACATTGAGACATAGCCTTACAACATGTAAAAAAAAAGAATGTGCGGATTAATCTATAGGATCAGTGGCCTGAAGTAAACCTTGAGTGAAAATGAATTTGACTTATTTCTTGTTTCCAGTGTGAAGGACCCACCTAGACTGGCGTCGTAAGTGTTCATGTACTCGCTGGTCATGAACTGCGACACGAGGGCAGTCTTGCCCACGCCTGCGTCTCCCAGCATGACCACCCTGTACTTGGGCACCTCGAACTCCTCGGGCGAGCCCAGCGGCGTGGAGTCGACGGTATGGTAGCCAGAGCCGCAGCAGGAGCCGTCGAAAGGCGACCGCTCGCCCGAAACGTTGCTGGCCCTGAAATTGGGAAAAAATGACATGAAATTCATCGTAATGGAGACGATTCTTTATTCATTATTAATTTTGTTGAGAAGAATCACAAATTTCTTAAATTCAATTCTAGAAACTTTGAATTCTATTTTGTTCACGCATTGCATATGTGACAATATGCATGAATTCATCGAATTTTACTGATTTTTCATTGGCAACTCCGTTTTTCCGTTATCATAGTCGAACATATGATCGTGACACCTATGCATTGCTGAATGAAACTTCATGTACTAAGGTTAGAAAAAAACCAAGATATAATATAGAAAATTGTTCCAGACATATCTAAATATGTCTCATTGACATAATTGTATTCAATATTCTAAAATGTCATGTAGTTTTCATCACATATATTTTTTTTCTACATTCATGCAAAAAGCAGAACTTTATTGAACTATATTTAGTGGAAAAAGAAGTTCTTCATTGCACTTAGTGCAATACAGTTTTCATTGCACTCATCTGTCATTCTACTTCAACGTGCTGTCATCATGACAAAAATTTTTTATATTGCAACTGTGGTTATAGAAACGTCAGTTAAAAATTAATTCTGACAATTAACGGCATTGTACCTAGTGCCGCACCTCAATAAATCATTTTTTGCTTTTTGCATGAACGTAGAAAAAATGTTGTATGCAACTCGTGCACTTGTTGCATAAATAACTATAAAACATCTACCTATATAAAACATATTCTTTGTGTATTTTTTTGCTTTTTCTATTGACCTGCTGTTTCTATTCACTTCATTTTCATAGTTTATTCATGATTTTCAAAATTTGTTTCCATTCACCTCTCAGATGGTTCACAAAGAAATAACTAAAACAATCACTGTTTCTATTCACCTCGCCTGAAAGGGAAATAGAAAATCACCACATTTCAATTGAAAAATAAATTTCATATTTTTCTTCATCAAAAATGTGATATCAACTCAGCAAAACAGTCTTAAGAGTCGAAAACTGTTTCTATTGACCTTATTTTACGGTATGTAATACCCCAAGTGATACTAATTTGGCGGAAATATTCGGTAATTGTTACGACAGCTTGTTGCCTAATAATTTCGACGAATGACATTTCGTATGAATATTCCTTGATTGAGATAATAAACGAGGGGATTGCGAGAGTTGCGTACACTGCATCCATCATTCTGACTCCCAACATAATTGACGTTTTAAACGTCCAAAATTTTATCGCTGAAAAACGAGGGAGGTTGGTCACGGTGTGGGTCAATTCGGCTTCTGTATTGGTGTAGAGCAAGTCCGATTGAAATTAAGTAAACAAAAAAAATATCGGTCTAATACAGAAGAAACCGTGAAAATGGCTGATTCTGATTGATTCTAGACACCGAGAGTGGGATAGTCATTTATGATCACACGAGAGCATATTTTGGCGATATAAACTTGGCATTTCAATAGAAATTTTGTTGCATGAAAATTGAATGAAAAAAATTGCCTTCGTAAGACTAGGAATTTCTGACCGTTTTCTGATATTCATTTCCAAAAAGCAACAGAATTTCAATTATAAATGTCAAGTTTGAGTGTTATTCGGTTAAACAATTCGATGAATACCAATACCATAATGTTATATTTGTCCAAATGGCATGCCCTATATTTTGTTGCACAGTTGAGTGCTTCTTTCTATAGCAATATCGAATAAAAAAAAATACTCACCTGCAGAAATCAATTATGCACCACTAGGTCAAAAAAATAAATGAACAGAAGATAGTCCTAGGAGGGTCGTTAACTGAGTTTGATTGACATTAATCATCATCGAAATTCCTTTCGCATCAAAAGTTATTTGTCGAAAACTCGTCTCATGAAATTGAAGGTGCCTTGAAAAAAGTATTGACATGTTTACTCTATGAACGGATTTAATTGATATTCCACGCCAAGAAAACACGCTGAAGCCAATATATTTCACCTCATATGGGAGGCAATATTTTGTTTCATCTTGCTGCACTACAATAAAACGCACCCACAAAATATAACGACAGGGTGATTGTTGTGATTATTCTACTCAATAGCTATTATTATCACACAGGAATTATATATTATTATATTATTTTCGTTATCGGTTCAGCTGTTTCATTTGAACTCAAATATAATTTATACTTTATTGAGCAGCAGGTTATCTTCGTAAGTTTTCGGAAAATATAGATGTTGAGGCAGAGAACGCCATAAATCGCAGCATTGTCATCAGCTTTAGATCTATACCAAAACATCTATATTTTTCAAACACTGACAAGAGATAACCCCAATAAAGTAGGTATATAAAAGATGGTTCAAAATTCGATGTTAATATTCCCAGGACGTATTGTTGGGATCAGAATGAGACATTTTCTTGTTATAAACATTTGTCCTAGAATGCACCTCCTCCGAGTTACACAGCCACAGTGAGTAAGTTAAAAGTTTTCTCTTTCTTGGACCAAAGTTTTTCAATAAGCTAGATGAATCGGTTAAGAACTCACCAAATTTAACAATTTTCAAATCGAGATTGAAAACTGCTCTTGTCCAAAAAAATTGCTGCACCCTCGACGAATTCTAGGTTTATATAGTCCCATTTTACTAGTAGTTTTAGTAGACTGTGAAGTCGTTTTAGTTATTCTTGCCTCTGCATACATCTTTTTTTATTTCTAACATATCTTCGTTTTAGATATATGTATGTATGTGTTGTGTATGTATATATACATTTATATTTAGCATTGTGACGTTTTCCTTGTTATTGTACCATTGAAGTCATCTTCTATTTTGTACTTTTCAACAAGAGAAATAAATATATTATTATCATTATTATTAATAAAACAAGTTTATTTCAAATTCTAATCATGATAAGGTATCAAGTGCAAGTAATCAAGTACTGCACGCCTTTGAAATAGCAATCTCTAATGCGTTACTACATTCGATCACCTCCGTATGCAAGCGTTTTGCGTTCGAAAACGAGGTCGTGTCTTATTTCCCCTATCGTTGATTACTATTTTCTGGCAAACGGTAAGTTGACCCACAAGATCACGCTTGATCAAGTCAGAGTTTCATTTTTTAGTCATAAAATTTGGGCCAATAAAAGTGTGGACCCCTCTCCAACTCCCTGGCCCCAAAAATGGGTTTGCAATATTTTTGAAGTAAGAAAAAAAATAGAGTGCTGGCTGGAGACTGCCCTGTACTGATGGGAGTCATAGAGCTCGAAACCGGTCTGTAGGTGTCTAGCGTGGCCTGGCTAAATCGAAATCAATAGGCATTCAGGAAATATTCACTTGTATCAGTTTTCGTTCATACAAGTCGATGCAGATTTCAGGAGGATGTAATTCAATGTTCTGCGTGGCATCAGCCAGGAATGTAGTTGTTTTTTTCCCTAAATCCATTGTTGTTCATTTTATGAACATTATATGGATATGACTTTGAGCTTTTTGTATTCATTTAATATTATACTGTCAATTAGACTGCATTCTTGATTTGAACAAGCTGCTTCCATGAAATAATCATGTATCTGGTTGATTCAACGAAAAATTGCGCAGTCCAACAAAAATAATTGAAGCATAAATAATTTGTTGATGCAACAAATCCCGTGTACATACATTCTATTGTATGAATTGCAAGTACAATAACGAGTGGCGTGATGATGGCTTGGACTCCGACACTATTTGACGTTGAACCCTGAAAATATTTTGCCTGTGGCGCATTTCTGTTTGGTTTTGAGATAACGCATCTGTTCATGATGGGAACACAAGAAAAATTCTGCATCAGGGCGACATCTACTCTTAACATTGAATATTTTTATGATAATATCACCTTATATGAATGTGGTTTTCTTTATTTAAAAGATCTATCATTTATATTATCGACGTATCGCACATTCTTTTATGTTACCACCAACCAGACACTCAATGCCTGGCAATGATAGAGTTGAAATTTACTCTGAATCGCTATTTCAATAGGTAAATCATCTCTAATTAAGCCTCCATCAGGATAATTAATCCATAGGGCAACGTGAATTAGCTAAACAAACCACTGAGAATACGAAACGTAGGTATAAGAATAGAGATGAATCCCTGAACGTTATTAAGGTATACACTTACCTATCTACTAAGGTACGGAATTTGATTTCCATTTTAGGAGTACAAAGGAGTTGATCTTGTATAATGAATGGAATATTTCAGGCGAAGATTTACTCAGACAGGGATTTTGTGGGTTGATTTCAGCTATCTATACAGTTTGTCTCACACATCTATAGCATTATAAAATGTATTGAAGTAGATATTCATATATAAATACCCAAACATCGATGAAATTCATGCATCAATAACTTTGTTAATTCAAGTCCGATTTGATTATAATTCCCCTGATAATGTAGATGAATTCACTGAGATTATGACACAAGTTGGAATCTCAAGAAAATTAGCTAGGCATTCATATTATTCAAGGTGACAAAAACGGGAATTTCACTGACCTCAAAACAATTTTTGAAGTGAACAAGCTGTTACACGCTATAGTTTCTTATTTCCCTATCAAGTTACATCTATACCATATATCTTACGTATTTTTAGTTGTCTTCATAACTTTATGCACTTCAGGGATTTAAAGGGTACCTTAATTCCCGATTATCGAGGAAAAAAGTGGTACTTCAAATCCCTAGGAATTTGAAGTGAATTTCTTTGCAATGAAAGTTGAATTTGAAAATGTATTTTCAGAATGTCTGTTACAATTGTGGCTTTCATCATCGAATATATGCTCCACAATGACGATGCTTTTTTGACTTTTCCAAGAAATATGCTAGCAGTACCTTTCCTTCTGTAAATTTTTTTACGTTCCGTTTTTCGCACCATTTGATAACTCAGATAACTGTTCGTTAAATTGTTCACCAGATTTTCTTGATAATAATTGGCATTCAGCTTCTTGAGCTGCCTTTTCGATTTGTTCCATCGCGTCTTTCTGTCGGTGTGGCGTGTTCGACTAATATTTATTTATTTATGTTTTAGTTAGTTACTTTTCATAACACACCAAGATTTTCAGTTGCCGATGACAATCATGATCTGGATCACCATAGAGACTGAGGTCGTTGATATGGTAACAATCAGACCCTTCGATGATGTTTCAGAAATAGAGTAACCACCGTTTGGTAGTTTTTTTTTTTCGTTATTGTTTCTTTATCGTTTTACCTGTCCTGAAGTGCATAAAATAGTATATACACCTCGGGACTGAAGTGTTTCTGAATCTATAGCCCTCCCGTTGTTCGGGCTATAAACTTTTTGTCTAGGGTTTAAAAAACCTTTTTATTCCCTAGGCGTATAATGTACTATTATTTTTATAAGTGACTCTAGGTGAGAAACTTAAAATCTGAAGACCAACATAATATACGAGGTGATTGATAAAAAACGCCCCAAGCCATAGAACCGCTATTAACAATCCGATATTGAAAAACAAAAAAGCAGATGTGATGACTCATCTCATACTATGAGTATCCTCTGATCATTATTTTATGAAATTCCGACATCATCATACTAAATGGTCGAGTATGATTGTTAATTGTTGCCTTACAATTTCAGGAATATATTTAACACATTGTATGAAATATTTCGGGTAGTCGCGTTATGACCGCATGGAATACAACTACTGAGAAGGAGAAATGTGGAAGATGAAATTTCATTATGAATCGAAATGATAATTTTTGAACACGTTGTGGAATTTTGATCATATCGAGTTATTGACTTGTCCTAATGCCATGCCTGGCCATTACAGGGGCGATGTCCTCCACTCCAACGACAGCGATGGACAACCTCCTGAACCTCACTTCCCCCCACATTGTCATGAAGAGGGAAGCCAGAATGGTTTTCTATAGATTCCTGTCAATGAAAAATAAAATGAGAGAGGGGCGACTGCTAGACCACTCCGGGATACTATATGTGATATAAAAAATCACTCAACTCTAGGAATGGTTCCTGACATGTTGTCTACTCAGATACACGTAAAAAAGTCTTTCAAAGTCCTCTTTCCCGAAGAAAGACGAGTGGGTAAGAGGATCAATCCAATTCCCAGAGACCAAACACGTGATGTACACAGATGGTTCAAAGACCTCGCTTGTGGAAATCGAAGACGGAAATCTCATTCAATCTCGGTAAGTATGCTACAATCCTTCAGGCTGTGGTCTTCCCAATTGAATTGTATGCTGAAGAGTTGACGAATAGACCCCTAGTGAACAAGAAAATCAAGATTGCATCAGATAGTCAGGCTGCTCTCAGAGCATTGAGCTGCAGCAATATACATTCCAAGCTTGTATGGAACTGTATTGAATCTCTAGAATGCCTGGGTGCTGACAACAGAGTTACTTTGCTGTGGGTATACCTGGACACACCAGGCCAACAGGGAACCGAATATGTGTTCAAAGGACCAGATTCAACGGTCAACGGTCAACGGAGGGGAAACGACTCACGTACTGGTCCAAATTACTAGGATGAACCAATTCGAAGGCTTCTGTCTAAACCATCGAAAAATATAACCAGGCAGATCGTAGAATGGAGCAGGGGCAACTCGCGAATTCTGACAGGACTGCTTACGGGACACTGTCATCTAAGATACCACCTAGGAAGGATGGGTCTGAACCAACAAGCAGACTGTCGGTTCTGCTGTGTTGAAGTCAAAACGGCTAAACACATACTATGTTCATGTTCTTGCTTAGAGAGACTAAGGTTCGACATATTTGGCTTTACCAATTTAGAACATATCGGTTTTAGACAAATCTCAACTAATTCCACCATGAACATTGTGAAAAGATGTGGTTTGTAAAGTGAACTGTAACCTCTAGGAATGAGATACAATAGAACCATCTGGGGTCGCAATGGAACCTGATCTAACCTAGTATGTCATGTCAAAAAAAGATATGCAAAAATGAACACAGCTTTGAAGACTACTAAATCTGAATATTCATTCTTCGAGACGGGATTATTAACTGATCCCCTATAGAGTTTGTGAATATATTCAATAAGTATGGTCCTTTGAGCCGGATTTCATAACTGAAATCTTACGATTTTTTGGTTGATATATTTATCATATGAAAGAGTTCGAGTAACAACGAAAACGAAACAGTTTTTCGACGTCCATAATTTGCTGATCATGCATACTACCCGAGACCAACCAAACCAGCAGGAAGAATAATGAAGAAGAACGTTTTTGCGCCTAACAACTCATGGAGTCAATTACTGAGGAGAAATGAGGAAGATTGGAGTTTATTGAATTTTTTTTCGAACACGAAAAACAAACGAAATGAATACAATTGTAAAGAAAAGTAAATCTGAGAATCGTTCTTTGATACCGATTGTTAACTAACGTTCTACAATTTCAGGTAATCAGATGCTCATTCATAATCATGGATGAGCTCCTTCATGGTCGTGTAGAACATCAATTATAGCGATTCAATCGTGGAATTCAATTCTACCTTAAAACCATTTATTATTCATTGTTACGAGTTTTAGATTAACCCTGTATAATAACGGTCTCATTCCTTCCACCGAAGGAAAGTTTCCATGGACCATGACATACTATAAAGTAAAGAAAACAACTGAGGAACTGATAGTGCGAGGATGTGAAACAAGATACTCTATTAATCATCACCGAAGATTAATCTTTTGCTAGGTTGGTTGAGCCAAAACGGATATAGAGTTAAGTGGAAATCCTTGGGTTTTCTTCTATCGAGATTCTATCGTTATTATGCACGAATTTCACAACAGAGTACGGCAAGAGAAAATAATAGGTTGTTCGTATCATGTTACGAGGAAAAATGATTTGTGTTTTGCGTAAAATAATCCAGACTAAACATATATACAGTTTTCAGAAGCACAGTTTTGCTTACGTGTCCGAAGAAATACTGACATGAATTAATTGGTCGTTTCTAGACAAATAGGCCTAATTTTGTTGTGTTGAACCAGGGCCTACTCTATCTCTAGAGTAGGCCCTGGTTGAACCCTTTCAACTAATCTGAACCATTGTATTCTTTGGCAACCGTCTTGAAATCGATATTTACGTTTACGATCTGTCATCTCCTGCGATATTAGAACCAATCAGAATGGTGTGCCTCGATAGTATATACGCTGTTTTTCCATTTCGAGCCGGTGAGATCACGTCGTCACAGCATGCAACCACGAATCTGCATAGAAAAACATCTTATCAGCCGGTATGACATGGAGATAACAGTTTTATCAGGTCATTGAATTGTTTCAATAGATACAACTTATGCTCACAATACTATCAAAAATTCTGTATAAAGAATCTTGAACTCGATCAAATTGGTTTGAGGTAACATCCCTCGTCCTGGTATCAGTGGAATCATGTTGATTTCTGACAGAAATTTTGGTGTTTGCCAAATCAATGTTGATATTTTCATGTATAGTATAACGCTTTCATATGGTCACGGATCCCACTTTTTAAAAAACCCCGTTAAAAGCATGGTATTGTCTGAGTTATTTGGGCAATTACCCTTCACATACCATTTTGGTACATGGAACGGGGTGCCTTATTAGGATTTCAAAAAGGCCGACTTCTTGACTATGTGCATCGGCGAAGAGTTTTGATAGCTAGTAAGTAATATCTAAGACCAAAATATGAACCCGATTGTGTAACAAACATCATCAACATTTGTAGAGATGACTTCGGGAAATTTCACTTCATTTTGAGCAATATAGACTTCTACCAAAGAAAAACAAGTTACATGTTGAAATCAGTATGGCTCTTGTTTGACAAATAATATAGCATATGAAATTATTTCGTCTTGTTGTTTCCTGTGCTCATCAGAGATGTATTCGTGATATGTTCGGGAAATCACGAATGGAAACAACTTTTTCATTAAACAAGGTGGCCCTTCGAAAAATGTCATAGGAGTTTCGAGTGAAAATACAGTAGATGTGGACAACAACAACAACATAATTGGTATTGAGAAAAATAACCAAACCCACAATTCGGAACAAAAATGGTTTCAAGAACTTCTTATTCGTCTGTATAGGACATTCAACTTCAGAACTCTACATTTGTGAATGCCATCCCAGACAGATAAATAAAATATGGAGATCTTCAAGATGAGTTTTCATTCGACATTCCACTCATAATACAGATCATAATTCC